TCTATTGAGATGACCATGTGGTTGGTTCTTGTCTTTGAGCCCATTTACATGATTTATGACGTTTAGTGACTTACGTATATTGAACCATGTGGAGAGCCACAGCCTCCGCCGCCATTACAAGATGGCGCCGGTATCCGGACCTTCTTAATAGTAAACATCCTGCTGCACCCATAAGGGGCGTGCACAAGAGCCTGCTCTCCCTCGCCTCCTCCCGTGGCGTGATCTCCAGCAACCAATCCGCTTCTTATACGTCATAAATGGGACCTTTAGGGCATATATAAGCAACAGCTCTCCCACTTCTCGGCGTCTTCGGTCTTCGGTCTTTAAGCTTCTAAGAGTGTAAGATGCGCATACAATAAACTGCTGCAGAAGGATCCTGACTTGTCCTCCCGCGTCATTCTTGCCGGCGAGACGGAAAGCGGTCGGGGACAGAACCATTCCTGCATCTCTGGGATAAAGCCAACTTGATCATGGTGATCTTTTTGATGTGTGTCGGTATGCGGTTTGCCAGTACCTTGTTGAGAATTTTTGCATCTATGTTCATTACGAATATGGGTCTATAATTTTCTTTTTTGGTTGTATCTTTACCTGGCTTCGGTATTAGAGTGATACTGGCTTCATAGAAGGAATTTCGAAGTTCTCCCTCCAGTTCTATCTTTTTCAATAAATTAAGTAATATTGGATGTAGATTTTCTTTAAATGTCTGATAGAATTCTGCTGTAAATCCATCTGGTCCTGGGCTTTTTTTAGTCGGGAGGTTTTTATTACTGTTTCAATTTTTTTTTGTGTTATGGGTCTGTTTAAGCTGTTAATCTCCTCTTGGTTTAATTTTGGTGGTTCCCATGTCTTTAGATATTTGTCCATTTCTTTTAAGTTTTCAAATTTAGTAGCATATAGGTTTTTAAAGTATCCCCTTATAATGCTCTGGATCTCTTTGATGTATGTTGTGATGTTTCCCCTTTCATCTCTGATTTTGTTGATTTGGAGGTGCTCTTTCTTTCTTTTGGTTCACTGAGCTAGC